ACACCACTATAGGAGCCATTTAATGCCACAGTCAGGTCACACAGAAACACCGCAATACTCAGTGTTTCAGTGCAGTACAATTATAGTAAACACACATTCTTTAATTAAAAATAAAAATTAAGACATTATAAATACGCTTCATTCACAAAAACCAAGATTTAGTAACGTCAAATGCCTTTCCCCGTGAGTGTTTTAGATTGAGATAGATGAAGTCTTTAAGAAATAAAATAAAATAAGTAATTATTTATTGGACTATTGTAGCTGAATAGATAAGAAATTTCATTACGTAATGGGAAATATCATTTACAATTTCAAAATAATTCCACTCTCTCTACACACACACACTCGCTTACTTTTAATTCAGCATGTATCTTTCTTAGTACTTAACAGTGAAAAATGTAATTAGGCAAGAACTCGAACAGTTCAGGTAGTTAGAAAGAATGGGGATGGAAAATCTCTGCGCTATAACAAGTATTTGGAACAGAGGGTCCTGTGGCACCTTTAAGACTAACAGAAGTATTGGGAGCATAAGCTTTTGTGGGTAAGAACCTCACTTCTTCATAAAAAGAAGAACAGGAGTTCTTGTAGTCCACGAAAGCTTATGCTCTAATAAATTTGTTAGTCTCTAAGGTGCTACAAGTACTCCTGTTCTTCTTTTTGCGGATACAGACTAACACGGCTGTTACTCTGAAACTTGTCACTTCTTCATATGTATATTGGGAATACCGGAATGGACTTGACACACTTCTGGAGGCTATGAAATGCTTCCAGACTGCACCTGTTTCAAACATTTTCCAAGAAAGATCTCCAGCGTCTAAGCCCTCTCTGATTTTAAAGCCACCAGCAAATTTAACTCCTCATCCTGACATCTGTTTGTCAGGAGCTTGTTTTTACCAATTTGCAGGAGGTACCTATGCATTCCACGGAGGCAAAGTATATTCTCATTCATACGTCTACAGACTTGGTGGCAACCAGGGGCTGACAAATGCCATGGGGAAGGGGCTGTTTGCTGCCGCAGAGATTGGCAATGCTGCTTCGGGGCAGGTAATAACAGTTTTGAGGAGGGGATGGTTTTCAGGGAGAGGAGTAGAGTTAGTGATGCTATTATGTGTGAGTTCCAGGAAAGTAGCGGGTGTCCGAGTGCTGTAGCTAGATGCCAATGGGAGGGAAGGGGGGCTATGTTAGTGCTTCCAGATGACTCTTTTTGAGGGGGATACAGAAAACGCTGCTGGGGAGGAATCCTGATGCGGAGTAGAGTCTACACTTGGACGAGTGGCGGGGATGACTTAGAGGGGGACTGTCAGTGCATGGATGTTGTGAGGGGGCACAGCCAGTGCTGAGTGTTGGACGGGTCCCCGGAGGGGCTCAGTCCGAGCGGGGGGTCGGGCTCGCCTCGGGACGGGAGATTCTCTCTGTGACCGTTGCAGCCACAGCGCGAGCGCGCCCGGGGAGCCGTTTGAGAAGTTGACTGGGGCCGCGCCGGGTAGAGGCCGTCTGCGACTGCAGCCTCGCTCGGACCGGCAGGCCGGCGGCGCCATGCGGCTCTGGCTGCTAGCCGCGCTGGGGCTGGGAGTGCTGGCGGATGTGTGCCGCGCACGGCGCAGGCCGGTCCTGCCGATCATCACCAACAAGACGTTCATCGACGCGTGCGTCCGGGAGCACAACAAGCACCGCACCGCGGTCCGGCCCGCTGCCGCCAACATGGTCTACATGGTAGGGAGGGGCCGCTTGGAGGAGGGGGGGGGCACGAAGGGAAGGAGCAGCTGGGCTGGACAAGAGGACTGGTTGGAGGGGGCGCTGTCCCACGGGGGACGATGGGGGAGGGGCTCATTGGAGGGATGAAAGATCAAGGCTGGAAGCAACCGAAGAGCCAGAAATGAAAAATAAAAATATTAATGAATAATTGACACCGAAATGGCTGGTGGTGCGAAAAGCACGTTATAAAGGGAATGATAAAGAATAATTGTTCCTATTTTACAGATTAGACAAAAAGGCCTCATCTACAATGTAAATCCAGCGGGCGGGGAGCCATTTACACTACCATTAAATACAGATCAACTGGTGCTGTGGACAGGACCAAAGCGTGTTTTAACCTTTCCAGCACATGAAGCTTCAGCCTTGAGCTTTGAAGAGTTGCTGCCCAGTTCAGGAACACTATTCAGCCCTCTCACTGCAAGAGTAAACCACGCCATACCAGGGGCTACCCGGTTCTAACGGGGTTCCCCCCAGCCCGGGTGGATTTGCAGTGTACAGAGGACCTTTCTTGTTTAGAAGGGGATATTGAAAAGGGGCCAGGCGGTTGCAATTCTCCTTTACTGCAGTGGAAGCTGCAGCTTCACCTCAGGGTCAGTCCTACACATTACATTCATCAGGGTTGAGTGTGAGGGAGTGATTAATTTATAGTTATATTTAATTATTTAAATATCTTATTTAATGGCAGCCAAGGAAACTTGATAAGAGAGATCTTAAAACAGGGAAATTCAAGCTACCTCTGGGACTGGGAGGTGCCACAGGGCATCTCTCTCTCTCTCTCTCTCTCTCTCTCTCACACACACACACACACCTCAAGCAGCTTGACTGGTGACAAATGTTTAGGGATCAAAGTGTGCATTGTTACTGTAGCCATGTTGGTCCCAGCATATTAGAGAGACAAGGTGGGTGAGATAATATCTTTTATTGGACCAACTTCTGGTAAGAGAGACAAGCTTTCGAGGGGAGTTTACACAGAGCTTCTTCTTTAGGTCTGGGAAAGGTACTCCCAGCATCACAGCTAAGTACAAGGTGGAACAGATTATTTAGCATAAGTAGTTAACACAAATTTCAAGGGACTATTCAAAGTGAAGTGGCCAGTTAACACTAGGTCAAATGACAAAGGATGAATGTAAACAAACAACACAA